TTAAGAAGCTTATTTTCAAAAGTACAAAAATCGAATGACATTCACGTAGAATATAGAGCTCAAAGGTGCCTACGTCGAAAAAAAATTTAAATGTAACCAAAAATTCTATTAATACTGACGTATAAAGCAACCCTCGTATTCACATATACCATACTTTGCATTTAACTATTATAAAATATATTCATTTTTAGAAACCTAGTTCTAACTTTTAATTCAATTTAATTTATAAAATACATTAGAGAAAATACGAGAAAAAGTAATACAAAAAAAGTTAAATACTGCTAAATACCAATAATTCATGATCGTAAGAAAATAATAAAAATGAATTTATATCTTAGCAAAAAACTAAAGATACAAATAAATTTTAGATAAAATTTTGCAACACAGTTTTAAAACCGTTATTTATATTTTTTAATTTCTTCTACAGTATTCGATCTTATCATACCGATAGTCGATTATACGAACTATGCTATTATGGGTATCACTTGCGCTGTAGCTTGGGAACTTCCAAGTAAACCACCTAGCGAAATAGTCGAAAATTTTCGGGATAAGTTAAACGATGGCACTTATGGTCTAACACGACGCAACGATACTCTACACAATAACATCAAGTACGTTGACAACACCAACAATGATTTTGCTGTAAATTCCCCAGCAACAATGAAAACTCAAAATCTTTATCAAAATTCATACACAAACCAAAAATCAGTACCAACTCCCACAGACCCGTATTACAATTTCAATAACAATTATAACAATGGCAATTCAAGTAGCACGGCTGTTCAGTTGGAATCCAATGCGTTGTATGCAAATCCTTACGAAACTACAAAAACGGCAGCCGTTAACCAGGCGCTGCATCCTGCAACCTATTCGACACACTACCAAGCATACAATGTCGGTGACAACTCTGCTAAATACTCATTCGATAAGACTCAAAGTAAAACTTTATACGGGAATCGAGCAGATACACCAACACACTCAAAATATTATAAAACGACAAATGGCGTCAGTGGCATTTCCGGGTATAAGTACGCAGATAAGCAAAAATTTACTGATTGGCATCGGCAAGGCAATACTGCGAAAACAACGAACAATGTTATATACGGGTATAACCAGAGGCAGCAACAGCAAAAACACCAACAACAGCAACACCAGCAACAACAGCAACGACTACAACAATCGCTGCAATTGCAATCTGCAGTAAACACAAAGTATGAGCAAGGACATCCGGGTTGGTCCAAGCATAATTGGTGGGAAACAAACAAGCAGCGTATTGAAAGCGATTGGCGTGAAAAGCAACACAAATGGGCTAAATACGAATCAGTGTAAGTGTAGCACACTTCATACAGCTTTACTTTAAATCATGCTGAACGATTATTTTAAATGTGTAACAAAGAGCTAAATGCTTTAATTTATTCCCTTTACAGACAACCAGAAAAATCAACCACTACCAAGTACAATGCGCCTATTTATGCTCCGATACGCACTGGCAGAAATCGTAAAGTACTACAAAATCCGCCCAAGCATCGTATTTATCCTGTATTCGGCAAAAAACGACGTCGACGACGAGCCCAAAGCCAAAGCTCGGGAGGAAGGGACAGAAATTTGCTAGATTTCGAGCTCAAAATGGAGCGAATTCATTTGCATGAGCATGTACAATCGCGTCAGATATTGTATAGAAAAATTGAAAAACTTTTCCAAGCGTAAGTGCTGCGGCTTCGTGCTTCTTTTTAGTGCGTGCCAAATGCTGTGCGGCAGGACCAGCAACAGCATAGAACCAAGGAGCAGATAAATTTAGAGATTGTCTGCTTGGCGTATACATTTGATAACTTTGTCGTGTTGCAAAAAGTCAAATGCATTCAACTTTAATTTTTGATAAAACTCGCTTCTATATTTTCAACATTTTCCATTCGTTGGAACTATAGGATTTTTTTTCAAATCTTTTCATTTTTCATATATTTTTCACTTTTTATTTGTTTAAAGTTTTATGTATATATATTTTTATAACTTTTTAAACTATTTTTATGCTTTTTACAGACACGGTCACAATGGCACCGCTTGTGTACTGCGGGCACTTTGCGAAACTGGGCAAAGGCACTTTCGCACTGAACCACAAACTTTTATTATGGAACTTTTACGAGCAATTTTCGTATTACCAAAGGATATGCCACCTGCAGTACAGGAACGTATAACTGGAAAAAATGTTAAAACAAAAACTAAAGTGAAGCCACACATTGCGACGCACTACAGTAACGCATACGGTACGCAGACCAATTGTGGGGAACTTTTCACCATGTGTGAACACAGCATTTGGAGCGATTTTGAATTTAAAATGTGATAATTATTATTTAAAGAAAACTTTTTCAAAATAAATAATAACTTTAATTGCTACTTCTAATAATAAATACATTTTATAGAAGAGAGTACTCATATTAAAGTTTAGAAAATTGTAAATTGTAACTCACTTTTTAATTATAAAACCAACAGAATACCTATATATCACAGAAATATTAAAATAGCGAATCAGGAAATAAATGTTTAAACGTACATTATCTTAAATACATAACGATAATAGTACACCAATTCACACAGTGACCCTAGAACAGAAAAATGTATGTTAAAACAAATTTGACTAATATAGTTTGTATAGTAAATCGAAATAACGAGTTACTAGTTAGTTTATAGATAAAAGTAGTTTATTGCAAAACACTGATTCCTTGAAAAGAAATATAATCTGTTTGAAAATATCTTCTTCGTTGAAAAAAATTCGTTCATCGAAAATATCTACTTCATGGAAATGAACTAGAAATAGTTCACTCAATATAATAAAAAGAAATTAGCTTCTTAAAAACTATTAGTCATTACAAAGAAAATAAATTATAGTAAAGAACTCGTTAAATAGAAAAGATACATTAAAAAAAATGAATTCACTAAAACGAACTAGTTATATATAAAGTATTAGTCAATTGAAAGAAAAGAGTTTATACAAAAAACGTAGTTAATTAGAAGTAGTCATTTTGAATTAATTTATACAATAAATATATTCATATTTTTTCTTTCAATCGTAATTGGTATCAGTTAAAAATTCCTGTTGACTCTGTCATGAGGAGAAGGAAACATCAGAACATGTTCTATGCAACAGCCCAGCGGCGGCAAGACATAGACTCGATTACCTTGGTAGCGGGATCCTGTTCCCAAATCAAATAGGTAAAATTTATCCCACTGCAATTATAAGATTTATAAATAGTCTAAAATTGTCCTAGTTTGGCCTATAGGCGCACAATAGATCTATCAAGTCAGGGTGCACAAATAGCTTATTTTAAATAATAATAATAATAATTGAAAGAAAATAGTTTATACAAAAAACGTAGTTAATTAGAAGAAGTCATTTTAAATTAATTTATACAATAAATATATTAATATTTTTTCTTTCAATCGTAATTGGTATCAGTTTAATAACAATAACAATTCCGCTTGTTTTTAAATTTTTTCTAAATGTTTCGTCACGGCAAGTTCTTTAGTGACAAACAACAACTTTTATGTTGTAACTTTAAAATATATCTTACAGAGGACCAAATATTTCAATAAGCATCTTTTATGCGTAAAGTTAGCGATAGGTTTTAAACCTGAACATAAAACCTAAATAGGTGTTAAACCTGAAACCGATGGATACGAAGTGGATCAATTTGTTCACTTAATTCAACCCGCTTTACAATCTATTTTAGTTTAGTTTTTTCTATTTTATGAATTAAAATGGTTTTTATCAATTTTTTTATTAGCCGGCTTCGACTGATTATGAAAATAAAAAGAAACAAATATTGACCCATAATGTTGTGCCATAGTATGCAAGCAATAGTGAAAAGGGGGGTGGAGAATTAAAACGAATTGTTATCACTTTAATCAATGAGGACTGTCAAAATTTATGCTACTGACAAAAAATTAAAAACGTTCGTTAAATTGTCTTTCAGTCTTTCATATTTGGACAATATTGCATGAAGATCTAAACAGAATAAAAATCGTTACACATTATTAACTTTGGACCAAAAATCACTTGATTATTTCCACAATTCCGTCAAAACAGTTTAAGCAAAACAAATATGTTTTTTGGAGATTCATAAATATTTATTAATTACAGATCCACCACCACTATACTTCGAATACTAGAGAGCAATCAAAACAATTGAATGAAATTAATGTGATTTCATATAAAGGCGAAAACTTTGATGGCTACTACTATTTTTAATATTTAGTAAGCGTGTGTTGCTATTTAACTAACTCGAAAAATTCAAGCTTATTATCCAATATTATTAAATAAAATAAGCGTCGTCCATTTTATCCACCAGAATTAGCCGCAGTAACTATTTTTTGTTTCCAAAAAATAAAATTTTAAAAGCTAAAATTATCGTAAAATGGAAATAAAATAAACAACGTAAATAAATATATTGAAAACTTTAAAGCTACTATGCTGGGATTCCAGATTTAAGCAGAAAGGATATTTTTATTAGAGACCTTTCTATCCGGCACTTTTCCCTAACCGATAATATATAAGGTGCTTTGAAAGGTAAAAGTGGAGGTGGTACATCTATTATATACTATGTAATTAATTGTTATTTTTTATAATGTTTTCTTAGTACCATTATTCTGTACCATTATTCTTGAAATGCTCAACAATACATGTCTGTCAATAATATCAATATCAAAGGGAATTATGTTATTTTACACAAAAATTTTTAACGCGTCAAATTATGCAAACAAGTTGTTTGTACCTCTAAGCGCTTCTAGTTCAACGACTGTCACATTCTGTGAGCTATAGGATTGGATAAAGTTTTATAAGTTTATTTGATTTGAACAACTTTGATAACCAAGTTTTTTAAAGGTTGTTGGTGTTGACGTCATCTATGTGCATTCCGAGGTTTTCGATGTTATTGATGTTTTCATTTTGTTCCATATTCGGGTTGTAGAACGGGAAAGTTTATTGTCCATCTTTGCATATTGAAAATATGGAATGTTATAATTTACACATTTTTTTTTGCAAAACCTTAGGCATCGTAATTATTCAATCAGTCAGTATCAATCTCCGTATCCGGTATTCAAACACCAAACGTTTTGCCGAGCGAGATGATGTTAGAAAGTCCGAAAGACTCCCAATCATAACTGTGAACAATCCACTATTAAGAAAAATCAGTTTACTTTGATTACTGATTTTAATGACCCCATAACTACGGAAAACCTCAAATGAGTCAAAACGTGAAGACCTACCTGTTGTATAAACATTATTCATAATACTTTAAAATACAACACTGTAGTTAAGTATAGTTAAGTTAACCCATATCAGGTTTGGTTAAGTTGAGAAGGTGCGTGTTGCCAGTTATGTGCATTGCCTATTGTTATGACCACAAAGTTTTTGCCGGAAGAGGCGAGTTGCTAACCTTTGTTATCTTCGTGTACTAGCCTTGTTAAACCATTTGGTTTTCCAGATAAAGTTAAGGAGATCCGATAAGTTTACTGTTGAGAAAAAGCGATCCCTAAGACATTAAAGTCGCCTTGTCTGCAGTCCCGGACAGAGCCACTGGAAATGGTTGATATATTCTATCTCCTCCTCATCTTGTCAACTCCTGCATAAGGAGGAAGTAGAAGTTGATACTATATTTTATTATATGAGAGCAGTCTAATAAAGAATGTCAGACATATAACACTACCTTGAAAGACTACCATGATGAGGCATGTCAACTTCCCATGTCTCAACTTTTAATTATTTATATATTCTTAATGTGCTGTGATCCAAAGCTAAATCAACAACAATATCTTATTTAGAAACTGAGATCACTCTTTCCTCATGTGTGATGAAGATAAAAAATTAAATATGCCATTTAACCATTGTTTCATATTGTCTCAGCGTAAAATTATATGAGCAACCTATGTCATCCACTTATCAACTACCATCTGGCAAATCCAGATAAAATTTACCTTTAGCCCACAGCAAAAATTCTTCCATTAGCTTAAAAAGTACAACCAATTTGTCTACTAAAAGTCAAACATACAGACAAATAGATGGACAAACATCACTAATATATTTCGTTCCACTTTAAGGATCTAGCCTATAAATGATTAATATAAGCTCTGACGTATTGCAAGAGTATGAAACTTCTTTTCTGCTACATTATAGTATAATATTTTAATTAAAGTCATTCCAACTCGGTGCTCGCAAAATATTTAAATGAATAAAAACAATTTCGTTTTATCAATTAAAAAACTTTACTTATTGTCACATTTGCATGTGGTAACCAACATTTTATCTGCGGCAGTTCTGCCAGTGGTATTTTCATTTAACTGTGCGGAAAATAGCTGCAACATATTTGAAACGATTTGAATTTAAATTTTTACACTAATTAAGAATGAAAATTAAAATTAAAAATAAAAATAAAAATAAAATTAAAAATAAAAATTAAAAAATAAAGAGCAACACTGAAACTGCATTGAATAGAAGTAAAAATTTACCAACAGAAACACACGAGGTAGTAAATTATAGTGTAAAGACAGCGCCGATATGAAATGAAGCGCTGAAGGATATGTGTGGTTGACTGCGGATGTATGTAGGATGGATATTCGTTAAAGTTGGTTTAATTTTAAATTGCAATCAGTAAAACTCAAAAAAAATATATATATAAAATAAAAGTAGCAAAAGTATAGAATACAAACAACCGCAGTTCACTCAACTTTACACCAACAAATAAAATTAAAAACAGAATGGCAAATACCGGAAACAGACACGCAATTTAAAAGGATATAAATAAAAAGTGACAGAAGTGCATGAATATCAGTTAAAAACAATTTCTAAAAGAGCTGTTGATTGAAAGAATGAAAACAAAAAGTGTACAACCACAAAATAGAGCAATACCAGTACTTAGATGAAGCATATGACATGCAACCGAATGAATTTAAACACCAACTAAAGGCCAAATGCAGTATCTTTTGAAAGCTCTAAAACAGAATCTGATTAAGTCTGGACAAGTCAGAATTAAGCGATTCATTTAATTATAATGCAAATATTCAACAAAAAACATGTAGACAGTGAAATTATGAACTATTCATTCACGTTAGTATTTATGTTACTTTCCGTAGCATTTTAGTTTTGTTCCCAATAATTGTCATATAAACTAAGCAAAGGAAGCGATTAAAGTTATATGTATACATAGAGTTTAATTTTTCTTCTAAGTTCAAAATAATTAATTTGTGATTTTACAACAAAAATAAAACTTTATATTTAGTTTTTAAGAACAATACACTGAGAATGCTGTTGAAGTTACTCTACAAAAACAAAACAAATTTTCTACTTATCGTTGAGTGT